CCCCGTCACGTGGTCCAGCTCCCTGCCCTGTCCTCTCAGCTAACACCCAGGTCATTCGGCTCAGACTCTCCTTCAGGGTTTATTTAGGTGGTTATTTTTTATTTTTTAATCCATTCTTGTTTGTTCGTTTACCTGCACCCTTGCTCTGCCCTCCCCCCATGACTGAGTACCAATGACGTCATGTGGTTTTTGCAGCTCCCCGCCCCATTAAATCCTTAATGGGGAGTCGCCCAAGCAGAGGGGCCCCTGACCCTCAAACCTCAGGTACAGGACTGGTGCCCCTGACCACTCTGGAGCACTGTTCTGGGGCTCAAGGTCACGGGGACGGGGAGACAGACGACGGACCCTCGCAGGTCAGGGGTTGAGGAGGGGGCAAATGAGCCTTAAGAAATGGCTTTTAACAATCGGACAGAAAGGAGGAACAACAAATGGGAAATAGGGGGAAAGGGAAGAGGCTGCCCTCCCAACCACAGGAGATTCTTAGGATTTTTCTACATTCTGTATATTTCCCCTCAAACCCCTGAAAATCCTTAAATGTTTAATAAACACTGACATTTCCAGAAGCTGCGGCCTCCATCTCCAATTGCCTCATTTTTCTAGGAATAATCCCTCCCCTCCCCCACACTCCTCATCAGCTGGTTTCAGTTGTTCAGAATTTGGTTTTATGGTACAGGCTTACACAGAATAATGGGAAAAACTCTGAAACGGGCTCACAGGACACATTCGAACATTCAGCCGGTGTCCAGTGGGCTTGTGCTGTGGGCTGAAGTGTGTCAGGCTCTGCGTCTACCTTTGAGAGAAGGTGGGTGAAGGACAGGAAGACAGCGATTCCCACGAGGACTGACTCTCAGGAGTCCAGCAGGAACGAGGGAGCTGCCAGGAGCCGCTCCCACTGCAAACAATTCCAGAAATGAAGGAAACGCGCAAGGCCAAGAGGAGCAGAGGGAGGCGGAAGAGGCAGGAAGGGCAGCTCCCAAAGGACGTTAGGGCGGGGCAAGTGCAAGAGTCGGAGATGGAAAGGCCCCAGGTGGGAAAGTTGGCTCTGCATTGGGGCAAGATCAAGGACAGGTCAAGAACACCAAGTCCCTGGTGGTAGGTTGTCAGGGAAGCAGGATCCTGTCCCTTTAGCTGCCTGAATTTCTCCCAAGATCTTCATTTCCCAGGTTGGGCTTGGGGAACACATTCCGAAGTGCCCCGCTCACATCTCCAGACCTCTCCACTTTTGCCAGGACTGCAGTCCCAGCTCTGCCACCCGACACGACTGAAAAAGCACCGAGAGCGCGATCGGTGATACAGATGTGACGACCGCATTTGCTTTCTTCCGTGGCTGTTTCTAACGCCTGACTCTTCTGCTAAACCAGTCCCCCAAAGACTCGCAGTTTTGGCTCAGAAAACAAACACTCGAGCCGTTCCTTGCTGATCAGGATTCAGGATCGTGTCCCGAGTAATAGGAACTAGGACAGGGGAGAGGAACAGGGTTCCCGGGCCCCAGGAGGCATTGCAGGCACGCCGAGAGGAGGCTCAACTCGAGTGCCTAGTGGAAATGAGCAGCCAGGCAGAGACCAGCTTCACCACCCTCGCTGAGCACTACCTTCGGTCCTGCAGAAGACGCCTAGGCCTTTCTCTCCAGTGAGGACTGTCTTTCCCAAAGCTACAGCCTGTGTTTGCTACCAGGCCCTTTTGGAGCAAAAAATGGTAAAAATCAGTTCAGTACCACACTCCAGATCACTGTGGCAAAAAGCAAATCAGCAGACACCCTCCAAGCAGCCGAGCTTACGGGAGCAGGCTGGGGACAGAGAGCCCACCAAAGCCACCTCGCCAGGCACAGGGGCACCGCTTTACCTCGGTGTGCGCGGGCAGTCTAAAGTGCAGCAGAGTGTCCCCACATTGTGTCCATGGGACCAGGGGACAGGGAATGCTCCTGTTTTGCCAGGTCACGCTGGGCTCAAACCAGGTGTGGCAATGAGGTTATCCTTTGATTTGCCCATGAGGCCAGGACTAAAAGCCACCATCAATACTATGCTGCACTCAGAACAGGTTCCAAATGTCAAGCGTCCTTCTTTTGCCTGGCATCAGGAGCAGGCACTTGCTGTGCCATGGGGCCTTCCTGTGACTTACCATTCCATCCTCCCAACACCCTAGAGCCGTGGGCTTGCTAGGCATGGATCAACTTTGGGACACAGGTTCCCTTCCAGGAACATTTTCCCTAGCTTCCTACACACAGCTGCCACACGGTGCTGACCGCCGTATTCCTGAATCGAGAGGAAGGTGGATACGAAGGAGTGAGGAAAGTTGGGGAGACAGAGCATTCCTTGCTCGGTCTTCAAGCATTTGTTCTGGTTTCAATGTAGAGACATCATTTCTCAGCAATGAGAACCCACTGGAAAGCTGTCATTTTAATTCATGGTTTAAAGTCTCTAGTGTGACCCAAGTCATCTTCTCCCTCCCCTAAGTTTGATAAACAGGTGTGTGCGGGGGCGGGGAGGGGCAGCAGGAACAGCTAGGACAGTCATTTGGGGACAGGGAGCAGGGAGGACTGGGCTTGTTCTCAGAGGGTTACACACTGAGCGTGCCCTCAGCTGGAAGGGGAAGGCAAGGGAGCCAGCACCAGCAGGTGCGCCAGGGGTGGCGACAGGCAGACGGAAGACAGTGTGGGCGGTGAATCAAGGTGAGGGCAAGGTCGGGAAGGCGAGGTGGGCGGGCTTCGCCGTGAAAGTGCTCAGGCGGCGTTGTCCCCTGTGCCACCATGCAGTGCATGCGGCGGCTCCACCGCCCTCCCCAAGGCCAGTCCAGACTGACACATTCACCCCCACCCATGAAGAAACAGAAGTCGAGGTTCAATGACCCCACTCGAGGGGCTAATATATATGAAACATGCTACAGTTACAGAGCGCCTGCTCCACTGGTGTCTGGAGTGCACAGGGGCGGGCGGGAGCTACGGGGTCGCTGGTTTGTGCGGCCTCTGTGGGGGTTAGAGGTACAAGGGTTGGCAAAGCCCCAGGAACCCTTCGCAGAGCACATCTGCACCAGCAGTAACTTGTGTCTTTAGAGCGCTCCCCTCTTCGCTCGTCTCCCCTCCCCAAATCTACCAGAGCCCCCGTTTCTCTGCCTGTGGCCCCTTCACCCTCTTCTCCTCTGCCCCTCCCAGTCCGAGCCTGGGTGAGGAAGGCGCGTTCCCGCTGCCTCTACTGGCCCCAGCCCCTTCCTTGACTACCCTGCTCAGCATGCACTAACATGGGAGCTACTCAATTTAGGTCTGCCAGGGGCAGGAGTCTCTAGCCCCCACTGTGGCTCCGCCCAGAGGACGGAAGGTGGTGGACGTGAAGGGGAACAGTCCCCTAGAGTGTGACTGTCGTGAGCGGTGGGCAGAGAGTGCGTATGCCCCACCCTCGGGCACCCTATCCGGAAGGCGTTGCCTCCCTCCTGCCCTGTCAGAGGTCCGCCTGTCAGCCCCGAAGCCTCCTGCTCCTCGACCTCATTGGGCAGCGAATGTACTGGCCAGGGAGGCTTATCCCCAGGAGAAGCCGCTGGAGAGCAGCTACTGGCCGAATTCTTCATCTCCCCTGTGTTCCCGGTGCCTCTACTGCTGTGATGGCTTAGGGGGGCCATGGAAAATAATGCGCAAGGGTCGAACGAGTCTTAAGGAGAGGCTGAGGGACAGAGACACAGACACGTGGGCATCAGAGCTGTGGAGAGGAGCGGAGGGCAAGGCTCGTTTCTCAGGGGCTGGGCTCCTTTTTCCTCTTCTGGAACCTCCGAAACTTGCCCTGAATGGCAAGGGCAGCCTTCTCCGTCTCCGGCGCCGTCAGGTCGATGTCAATCTCCTCCTCCTCCTCTGCCTTCTTGGCATCCCCGGCTTTCCCTGCGGGCAGTTCGAGATCCACGAGCGGGTGAACCTGACCTCCAGCCCTCTCTCCGGGCCCCAAGTGCAGGGGTTAGAGCCCGCTCTCTGCTGCACCGTGAGCCCCCAGCCTTTCCTGGGGCTGAAAAGGCCCCGATAACTCTGCTAAAGGTCAGGCCAGCGTACCCGGGTTGAGCATCGGCCGCGGTTACTTGGGAGCTTTGCTGCCCTTGGACCAAGATGGCGAATGTCCTCCCTCACCACTCACACCTGAGTCCCACCGGCGCCCCGGAGCACGTGCACTCGCCCCACTTTTCCTGTTTCCGAGCGAGACAGGGGCTGGGGTTATCTGAGGAGGGCCTTCCTATCGCTGTGCCTGTTTCCAGAGCCAGTTTCTCAAATCAAAGAGTAACCACTGGCGGGTGTGCGTCTTAGGAAAAATGCAGGGAGGCCGACAGTCATTCTAACCTAGTGCTGCGTCTCAGGTATCCAGTGCTTCGTCTCCTAGGACACCTGACTTTGGGAGCTTCCAAACTTACAGCCCACTCATCTCCATGTCCAGGCGTCATTCACCTGCGCTACAAACCGCCCGGCCCAAGCCCACTCACCCTTTTCCTCTGGGCCAGGTGCCTGGTTGGTCGCTGGGGACGTTTTGGTGTTAAGCTGGAAGAAAAATTAGAACATTAGATATTCATGGAAGTATTGAGGTGCCAGCCCTGTAGACTTGCTGCCACCACTTTCAAACCCCTGTTACCGGGGGGCATTGCTTAGTCTTTTGAAGAAGTGGGTCCTGAGATCAGAGAGAGGGAGAAAAGTCATCAAAACGCATTCACCAAGTATTCATACTAGGGAAAGCGTGCAGGGCAGGCGGACGCGAGCCTGGCCCTCGTGGAGCTCACGTCCCAGAGTGCAGACGATGCACAGTCGCGTTAAGTGCTGCAGAGGACAGCAGGGCGGATGTGGAGAAACAGCTCCGCACACAGAGGTCAGGGAAAGGCTCCCTGAAGGCTGGCGGTGCAGCCAACGGCTGAAGAAGACCGGGCAGTAAGGGCCGCGGGTGTGCAGGTGAGAGCTTTCACGGGCCTGTGGCAGACGGGGCACACGCGACTAGCCCGTCTGAGGGGCAGCAACACGGCGGCGCAGGCGGAACGAGGAAGGAGGGGAGACAGATGGAGGTGAGATCAGGGGCGACCGGGAGGGGGCGGGCAACCAGGGCCTTGGGATCTTCCTAAGGAGTCGACTTGCACCATCACCGCAAGTGAGCTCGGAAGCCAGCGGAGACCTTCAATTTGCATAACTGGGGCAGGAGGGAGGATGCAGAAAAACCAGTTAGGAAGTTATTGCAGAAAACTGGGCAAGAGATGACAGTAGCCAGGCTCAGCACGGAGGCAGCGAGGGTGGCGAGAAGTGGCCCGATTCTGGGGACATGTTCACGCTGTGAGCAACGTGGTTGGCTGACTGGGTCAGCAGTATAGTGAGAGAGCAGTCGAGGATGATGTCCACAGCGCGACTTCATTGGGCCTGAGGACCTTACAAAAGGGCAGCTGCCATTTCCCGGGATGGAAAGGACAGCAAGAGGGCAGCGCTCAAGGTCAGGGGCTTGTTTGGGCTACCCTTCAGGGACCTGGAGGAGCTTTCCAAGCAGATGGGACTTCAAGATGAGTGACAGGGGGCTGGCCCACAGGTACAAAGCAGGAGTTATCCACAGATGGACGGCATGCAAAGCCTGAGGGTGGCTGAGATCACCAAGGGCGAGTTCAGAGGGAGCAGACAGAGAAGGGGAAAAGGTAAAATCCTGGGGCAGCCTAGGGATTAGAGGCTGTGGCGGGGGGGGGGGCAGGAAACAGTAAAGAAAACTGAAAAGAAGTCAGTAGGAGAAAAGCCAGGTGATTGCAGTGACTCAAAGCCACACGAGGAAAAGGTGTCAAGGAAAAGAGAGACTGAACCCAGATGCGCAGCTCGGCCTGGTAAGGTGAGGCCTGAGGACCCACTGGGCTTGCTTCGTGGGGACCGCTGGCGACGCTGGCAGGAGCACTTGCAGTAGAGGACGGGAGCGAGAGTCTGGGTGCAGTGGGTTTCCGAGAGGAAGGGGGTAGGGCTTGATGCAGCTCACAGGAGGAGTTCCAAAGAAATGACATGAGCAGTGTGGCTGGAGGGGGCCATGGGTGACAAGAAAGTTTCATGTAAGATGGAAGAAATCACAGAGTGTTTGTGTTCTTATGGAGACAACCCAGGGCAGAAGGAGAGTCTGTGGACGAGAGGAAGGACCATTCCTGGGGCAGGGCAAGGGGATGGGATCTTGAGCGGGGTTGGAGCCGAGAATACATCACCCGCAGACCGGGAGGGGGGCAGCGAGCGTGGGCCCAGCTGAAGGCAGTTGGGGACATTTGCAAGGTCTCCTCTAATTGCTTCTGTTTTGAAATAAAATAGGTAACAAAGTCACTTACCTGTGTTCAGCACTGTGCTATGCACTAAAGGGGTACAGAAGAAACCCAAGATTCACTCATTCAACAAATATCAATGGCAAATATATGCCAATAACTGTGCTCGACATTGGGGATACAGCAGTGAGAAAAATAAAGTCCCTGAACTCATTAAGCAATTATGTCAGTTAGTGACAAGTGTCAAGAAGGAGAATAAAACAGAGTAGTCTAGGAAGGCCTCTCTGATGAGTGACATTTGAGGTTGGAATGTAAGAGCAAGGCACGTGTCTGGGAAAGAGCTTTCTAGGCAGACGAAGCATCAAGGGGAACGTCCATGAGGCATGTTTTGTGCCTGGCATGTTCAAGGAAGGGCAAGACAGCCAGCCTGGCTGAGCTGAGTGCGGAGGGACCGAGCATGGAGACGAAGCCGGGGGGCGGCAAGGACAGGCATGTCTTTGGACCAGGGCAGAGACTTTGGATTCTTTTCTGGGTTGATGGCATCACAGGGTTTGAGGCAGAGGGCAACACGGGCTGACATGTTTGACTGCTGGGTGGAGAATAAGCTATAGCAAGGCAAGAGAGGAAGCTGGGGAAACGATCATAAGGGACTTGCGGTGGCACAGGCCAGATCATGGGGTGATGGTGACGGAGGAGACAGAAGTATGTAGACTCGAGACAATTTCATAGAAGGAGAAGTTGGATTTTTGAAGGATGTGTGAGTAAAGATAGCTCTTTTGGAGAGCTTTGCTTTCAGGAGCAGCAGACGAATGGGCAATAGTGGAGGAAGAGTGTGGGGCCACGGGAGGGTGCTGGTCACGGGGGTGACGCAGCGGCGAAGGAGAAACGGAAGGCGCACGGAAGAGGTTTCACCACCGGTTGCCGGAGTGAAACCTGGAACGGGCAGGAGACGAATCCAGCGCCCAAGTCGCGTCTGGCCTTAGAAATACGACGCGCTCATCTGTAACAGAGCGAAGGCCTAGAACGCGGGCGCAGACGCCAGCCAGGCGGCAGGAGCGCCGGGAACCG